TTTAAAAATATCTCAGTAGTAGCACGGAGTCTAGAATTGTGTTTGGTATAAGCTCACCCCCTATTACATGGGACTGTTAACATAAATAGTGAAAAGTGGGTGTTACACACATTGTAGTGACATTAATTAAGTGCCGTAATGTGCACCTCTGCCTTCCCTCTTTGGGGATAATAGGCGTGATGTTATGTTATTAGTTTAAAATAACTTCTTACGTAGCAAACGTTTTTTATTCTCTGTAGAGGTAAGTTAAGGTGAACTTATACTATTTTTTGACGTACTATTACAGTTCGAGTTTTTACATAACAAATAAATTATAATTTGTATTCTGCAAAGAAATCTAAGAGTTAGTTGTAAGTTAAATGGGCTTGATTATATTTTGAGAAACTTTACGTAACTAAAATATAATTTGCCTACAAAATGTAGGTAATTTGTTTTACGTTGTAGGTTATTATTTTTGTAATCCATTTACATAACTGAACGTTACGTCTTTTAATCCCTATTTTAATTGATTTTACTACGAAATTGTACACTTGCAAGTACTGGACTAACGAGGCAGTCAAAGAGAAAAGTCACAGAATAAAATATTTGCAGAAGACCATATACAGTCCAGCACATCGACCTACTTGAATGTGTAAAATTTTGTCATTTTTTTTTTAAGGGGGAAAATCATCGAATGTCTGCTCCCGCCTGGGTGAGGCGGGAGGGAGTGTCAGACTCTTACTGACTAAAAACCACCCCGTGCCTTCTCCTGCACGTCGAGCCGGAGCCCCGGTTACCCGTTAGGTTCTCCGCGACTCCGAATCGGCATCGGCCCTATTGGGCCCCATCTGTGGTGGTCTGATGGCTCTTTGACGCGCGCGCGGAACGCGACGCGCCGTACGCTCGGGTCTGTTTCTGGTCGGACGGAGAGCCACCCATGCTCGCCGTCCGCAGGCCCGCGCTTACGGTGGCCGGAGATCGTCTCGCGATCCCCGACGCCCGGTGTGTCCTTCGCGATGGCTGGGTTGCGAGGAGGCAGCGCTTCGCTGCCTCACGCGTCCCGCCTCCTCCTTAGCTAGCATGACTGCTTCGCAAAAGGAGAAATTTTTGTCATTGGATTTGCGACTTTATATGTAAACGATAGAATGGAAAATCTAATAAAGAAATTTGACAGAAGAGAGTACATCAACCTGTTGCCTTCTGTACAAGAAAGGAAAAGTGAAATATTTGCTATCACCATGAGTAACCCATTCCACTAAGATATCAATATGAGTAACTCTAGATTTACAGAATAAACAATTACTAATTATTCAAACAATTAGTTTTGTTTACACAAAAACAATCTTCACTTCTCACGTTTTCAGTAGCTACATTGTAATGACGTCATGATACATGCGAATACGAGTACACTCGACAAACAAACCATTATAACATTGCGTCAAAATATTTATGTAGCGGTCTGGACAAACAAAACCCTACCTTTTTTCTTATTAGTTGTCCGATGATGAATATGACCACCGTAGCCTAAATGCTGCTAAATTATAGTATTAAAAAATTGCGGGTTACTTACTTAGTATACTGAGAAAACCTCTACTAGTTTCGAACCACAGCGGGGTTCTTCTTCACGAGCAGCGTGCGCGGTCGCGGCGATGCCGCGACCGCGATACAGAAATTAAGAAATCTCATAATATGAGATTGTTATGGGTTTGCCCTAACCCCTTGCTTTTGAGAGTCGGCTTGGGGATCGCAGTTAAATCATCGCCATTATTTAAACATAAACATTTATTTTGCGAAATTACCCACGGCAAGTAACAATGTGACATTTTTCGAGTTATATGTACTTTCAAAGATTATCTAGACACCACAGACAAACGGTGAAGGAACATATTGTGAGGATACCTGGGCTTATAATTTCTAATTTTAAGTTTGAAAAAGCCAACCCGTATTACATTACCTAACTGACGGACTAATTATATTTTTAATTTTCATACCCTGTCATCATCCCCATTCTCCGTGCGGGAAGAGGCTTTTTGCCAGCAATGGTCACTATAGGCTGTTGATTAGTGTTGATGATGATGATAAGGCTGCTGTCTACCTATACCTTGGTGGTTGTTCCCAGATCTAAGTCTGATACAGAAATGTAAGAAATAAGAATTTCAATCAAATCTGTTAATTTTTAGCAACTAAGCAGTTACCTCTTGATATGTCAAGTACTATTTGAACTGAAAAGGTTATGTAAACCACATTTCAATGACCCTTAATATTAACTTACTAATTTAGGTATACCTCGTCTAGAACCTAGGCTTTAATTTTTGAGTTCATCTGAGTTCATTACGTGAATAAAATGATATTATTCACGTATTCATTGGAATAGAAAATTAAATCGATTGGTGAAATGGTCACACAAACCACTGCCGAATTTCAGGTCTGATTCCTGGGTTAGGAGAAACCCATTATAAATATTGGAAATTTCTATTACGACGAGACATGGTAGTCAGTCGTTATACGGATGCTGAAAAATTCAGCATCGTCTGTACGTCTACACATTCAAATTTAACTTAGAAGTCATATCTACACGTACAAGTACTTTCTTTCTTAACTTATCAAAACATACTTCAACAAAGTAACAACTTATTTCCGATACTAAATGCCACCGGAGACGAAGTGTAATGAACCTGCCCCACCTTATAAAGGAACAATGTCCTGGCGATAGGCCAATACCACGGTCTAGCCTACCTCACAAGACGATAAACCACAAAAACAGCCCTTATTCCTTCGAAATAAAGTCCCATTAATTTGAAATTGTTACCGCAGATTCGTAGGGTGATATTTCACAAGCTTTTTTGCCTTTTTATTCCCTATAATTACACTCCTTAGCTATAAATTCTAATTTTCCCTCGTAGACCGTAGCATTGAACTTCATTCCGTTCATTCTTTCATTCGTTCATTTCGTTCCATCCCACTTCGCAAGTTCAAGAGCGATTCCACGATTCCCAGTGTCAATGACCGGAATCTACTAATAAATAGCTTTTTGAAATTGGAACGATATTCTCCAATGAGTGAGTTGACAGAGTGACAGAAGCAAAATTTATTTTTACAATTTTATTTCTTTCGTATTTATTTTAGAAACGATGTTTGTAAATATTTACGTTGGCAGTTTAATTTTTCTCGAAAATATGTTTGTTATTGTTCTGATGTTGATTATTTGTTGAATTATTGTTCTGTCAAAAAATGTAAATGAAAACAAATGTAAGTATCGTTTTGTTGTAACTGTACGCAATATAGAAATGTACTTAACTAAGAACATCTAGCAGTTTACTTACCTATCGAAGTATTGGGCCACTTGGTAAAACTGAATCTAATTATTTACTTGCATCAACGTCTTCAGATTTTTCAGAACAGCAAATTTAATCTCGGTCTACCATGCAATTAACTTAATAGAAGTTTATACGATGCCATTTTTTATACGCAACAGAAATAACCAATGCTTTGACAGCTAATTAAATTATGTTTAACACTTTAGACGTAATGGGCACAATAAACACCGTTGATTGTGTAATTAACTATAATAATAAAATAAAGAAGGTTACTATTATGAGATCAGGGTCGGTCGGCCATCAAGAATCAAGACTGCTGATTTACCTTTCTTATTATATTTAAAGATTTTATTATTTACGCAGATACATTTGCATGTAGGTAGAATCTGTATATATCCTTATTATAAAAATAACAATGGAAAACAATACTATCTCCATGATTCATGTTATCGATACTTTTTACAACTCTGTGGTCTGGCCACTGCGTGTCATCGACCCAATAAAACATAATAAGACAGCTGATATCTAAACGACAGCGCTATCAGTCGTACTTATCGTTTGATACGGGATTTTATTTCAAATATGTTGTTTTACTGGTTTAACTCATAAATTAATTATGTCCTTTTGACCCAGATAATCTACGACGAGTTGAAAAATTGCGTGTCAAGAATGAAATTAAGGACATTAGAAAAAAATTTGATTAAATTAATTATTATTCTATTTCAAAACTGTTTTGAAAGAAGAACGCAATAGGTGTCAAATATTTATTGTCTGTGGTTAGTTCTCTCGCTTTTTTTTATTAGAAATGATGTTTTTATAAACGGCCAGCATTGAAAAAGTTTATAATTTATTTATCGAGTGCCTGGTATAAATACTTTTTGAATGAATTATTATAATCTCACCGAGTCATGATTTCTCAACGATCTTGTACAGTCCTTGTATAAAACACATCACCATGTTTTGATAACATGAATGGCTGTTATTTTATTATAATACAGACGGCTTCTTTAGGTTTAAAACAACAAATGAATAGGCTTGTTGACTTAAACAAGGAAGATAGTTTATCAATATTATTATGGAAGTTAAGTAGGTAGGTACTTTACATTTCTTAAGTTTATGACAAGTTTTATCTTTTGTTTTGTATGACCTTTAGAAAGATATAATTTTAATTGATATTCTATTAAATGATTTAAATGGCTCACCTAAAATGAAACTTCAACCCCTCCCTTTCGAGCAAAAATCGTAAAATATAATGATGTGTGTGTGATGATATTTAGTATCAAAATGAAACACCTACTAATAAAATGACTATGAAGACAAACTTAGATGGACGATATAAAACTATTTGACCTGTCTGAGTAATACTTTTTATCAGATATTCCTATTTTTCTTGATGATAGATAAGGTTAATAACAAAACCCCTACAGTACAGCCAGAGTCAGAGTTTGTAAAATAAAAGTTTGTATAAAAAAAATTAGCCAAGCATTCACATGCGGCGATTGCTTGACTGAATTAACTTCGCAAACTATAAAATTTAATTGTACACAGTTACACAATAATTTAAACATAGCATTTAAGTCTTATCTTATGTGCGTAGGCTATAAAAGCGAAGTAATTGAAATCACTGCCTATGTATTGCCTACGTGACCATAAGCCGAATTACTATTTTACTACAATTCTGACGTCACGTTTCTATTGTTCCAGCTGCCTGCTGCTGTGAAGTTCCTCGCCGGTTATGGGGCAGCGGTCGACTTCAACAATACAGAACACAGCTAACCATAAATAATGCGGCACTCTAAGCCGAACCTCTCATGACCTTTGCCTACTGAAAGAAAAACGTCGACGTTTGAAAGTGGAACGCAACAAAACATTAGTGCAGCAGAGTGCCCGAGCTGAAGGAAGCTAGTGTTGTGCTAAGTTCGCGAATGATAACGTTATCGTGTTTTAAATCCATTGCGTCTGTTTTCGTTAACCGATAGCGGCGCTGATAAAGTCTTGTCGAGTTTTCATTTATCGTCACATCGTTGACGGTCGTGGATCTACCGAGACGTGTTAAAATAGTGCTGGTGTACGACTGATATCGTTTCGCTCGCCAATGTTTAAAAACATACCGACCGTTAGCCAAGTGTGTTCGTATACAGGTCGAGCGAGCGTACCTACGTTGTGTGTGACATTATTGAAGTTTGAATAGTGTGTGTTGTAAAAATGCGTGGTTTGTGGTCTCACTTGGCTGCGCTGGGGTGGGTGGTGTCGCTAGTGGGGTGCCACACACCCGGCAGCGAGCTGGAGTCCGTGCGGTACGGGCCCACGGACGACCGGTTCATCAGTGACACGTACACAGTCGCGAACATTAACATTACGTACAGAGACGAACATGGGGAGGTATACACGGAAACATCAGAGGTGAGTGACCTTTGTAACCACGTATTTAAGTAAAAACATTTATTTCTTCACGTTAAGTAATTATCAGGACCTATTTCATAACCTTTTCATAAAAAAATATAAAAAAAATGATTGCGACAACTTCAAGACAATTGTTCTGGTTTCTTTCGTAACAATAAATAGCTAGTTAAAAGAATTACGTAATAAAAATTGTGACAAGTATTTATAATAGAGCTGCAAACATTATAAAATTACATTGGATATTATTTTCCTATCTTATAGCATGAAGGATTTTATGATTCATTGATAACCATGACTTACATCACGTAGTCCTTTAATATTCTTGGTAAGCGAATTAAAATAATTGTCTTCCTTTAGCCATTTGACCCGGATTCACCTGGGACTTTCCCTGACTTTTGACTACACAAACCTTATCCCGACCATAACAAACACAAAAAGATCAGATTTTGTGCAGCTATTTGCGAGTTACGCACTATATATACATTTTCTTTTTTTTATACTTAAACCCAGATCTACGAAATTTATTACTTTGTAAAAAACAAATTGTCCAAACAAAACTTGTATCGTAGGTTTTTGTTTTGTTTTCTGTATAATATTTAGTCTTTAAACTGGTTTTCACACAAATCTTAATGTCAACGTTTATTAATAACAATACTGTTAGCTATTTCTTATTTTTATAAATGAAACATTTACGTTTATTAAATAAATCGCTTTAAATGTAAATTACATGTTCTATAACTGAGAAGTATAACTAAATCGTTAAGGTTAAGTAAGACAAGGCTTTAAAATATTGATTCGAGTGTCAACAAATGTTTTACCATATTTTTTTTTTATAAATAACTAGCTTCTGCCCGCGACTTCGTACGCACAATCCCGTTTTCTCCCGTTCCCGTAGGATTTTCAGAACTTTTTCTGCCCTAAGAACCTTCTCCTAATACAAATACAACTAAATAAGAATGAGTGAAATCGGTCCAGCCACTCACGCGTTATGCCGCGACCAAGGGAAAAAGGAATTCATTTTTATATGTAAACATAACATAACATCACGCCTTTTTATCACCGAAGGGATAGGCAGAGGTGCACATTACGGCACTTAATGCCACTGTACAATGTAACACCCACTTTTCACTATTTTTGTTACGATTCCCATGTAATAGGGGGTGAGCCTATTGCCATATACCGGGCACATTTCCAGACTCCGTGCTACTACTGAGATTTTTAAAAACCCAATAATACTTTGCTCGACCCGGGAATCGAACCTGAGACCCCTTGCCCGGCAGTCGCACTTGCGACCACTCGGCCAACGAGGCAGTCTACATATATATATGTAAACTACAACAATAATACAACACAGATATACGTAATCTAGTATATTTAAACTGTCAAACACCAAGCGGTCACCGGTGACCGCAACCTATTATTCTATAATTGTGTCTACAATGACGGTACTCGACGAGTTAATGCCACAGCCACGAGAAACAGCATCTTCATAAGAAGTCATAGGTCATTCAACGTTACATCCAAAATTGTCAAATCACAATAAGAAGACGTGATACGATGTTTATTATGAATGAAAACCACTAAAAATAAATCTTTACTTAACATATCAAAGTCCACAAAAATACAGAGGAAAAAGAAAAACATATTACTTAACAACCATTTAGGTAATACAAATAGACACATACAATACGTAGAATTATTCAAATATTTTTCATTAAACATTTAATTATTGATAAGCCGAATGATAAAATATCTTGTCTCGGGAAATAATGAATTTATCTCGATAGGTATATATAATAAAAATTTCCTGATGATAACACCTTTATAATATGTGATGTTGCAACATTATTCTGACAAACGCTTTTTATCATTTTGTTCATATTCTCGAAATGTATTTCTTCATACGTTTAGTTCCACGTATGAAATGAAAATGACTTTTGATCTCACGTTTAATTTGTAGCAATTTTGCGAAAGGTCATGGTTATGATATGACTCATATAAGTCATAATTAATTGACCATTTATTTTTTGTCTCAAAACGAGACATTCGTTTATATAGATTCAGTCAGACATCTAGTAGCTAGATCCTATTATCCTGTATATTACCTGTCAACATAAACTTTGTGCCCACAACAAAAAGGTAAATCTTACTTAGTGCACAATATGTAGGAACTTAAAAGCTTTGTCGACTGTACTTCGTCACACTCCCTCCCGCCTCGCCCAGGCGGGAGAAGTCACTCGATGATTTACCTCTTACAAAACCACTCGAGCCGTCCGAAATGTCATCGCAAAGTTGCGACTATAAAAATTTTCGCGTGGTTTCTAAAAAGGGACAGTTTTGCGTCTCAGATTTCGTTTCGGGGACAACGGGGTTCGTAATTATAAAAAGAGGCAATCCCGGTCAAAACGAGACATCTAGTCACGTTACTTTAACCTAATTGTCTATGTCAAACTAGCTACTAAAATATTTTTTTAGTATTATACCTATATAGTATTGTGTTTGGAAACATAATAAAATATGTAATGTATAGTTTCGGCTAGCGGCTTGAACGTACTTAGTCCAAGAAAAAATCACTCTTCAACCTCCCATCCTACCTCCAGACATAAAAATCCTGTCCTAAAAATTATCCGTTTCGACTTGAAAGAAAAACAACTAAACACAATTTCGCATTTGTAATATGATTTCGCAAAAAATGAAATTAAGCAAAAAGCGCTATATATAATAAGTCCATATTTGTCTGCTCTTTCAGCAATTTACAGGCGTTATCTTATGTTATTTTTTAATTATACATACTCATTCATAACAAAACATGTTCGTACAGTTACATAAGGATAATCTCCACACGTAGGTAAAATGCAGGCTATATTCATGTAAGTATGTTTGTGCGTCAATTTTCATCCATATTCATTCAGCTCCACAATGGTGGTGCATTTTAACAAGTACAGCATAATTGGAAGAAATAATAACAAGACATTAATTATTGTATTTACTGAAAGCGAAAAATATCTTGGCAACACTCGTATGTAGATGCTTGTGAAAGAAAATATCGCATTACGTACGACTAGGGGGTAAAATGTTCTATTTTAGTTCTTAAAATTGGAGAATAGGAGGAGAATTATCAGAATTAATATAACTATTCTTGAAGACTAAGTTTAACTTTCTTTACTGTTGAAAATAATGAAAACTGAATATTGAATGCAATGTTATTTCCTAATCCTTTGCGAGTTTCTTTAAATTTAAAAAAGACGGTATCGGCTTTTTTTTGGACAAACCCGCCACAAATTAACAAAATCGCCCCAACTCCTGTCAGCTAGGATCTACAGTAGCTACAACCATAAAAACGGTATTGGCTTACATACATGACTTTATGCTATGGGTGGCATGATGCTCCCTCCTCTATTTTAAAGCGATTTCAAATGCCTGGTGAAATCAATACTAATATTATTTTCATTAGTTCAGATTAGTGCAGTAATAAATGAAGAAAAACTTAAATTCGTGACGAAATATTAAGACCAGCTGTCATCGATAATCAAAGAAAATCGTACGAGTTTTATCTGACAGGCCCTTTATGTATTTTTACATACGTACTTAGGACATTTATTTATATACAATATCAAAGTTCAAATAGACAAACATATATGATTGCGCAATATTTCAAAAAATAGTATCATATTGAGCTATTTATATCATTCAAGTGCTATTTTTGGACAAATTTATCTAGAGATGGACTTTAAACACTATTTGAGGATACTAAAAATAGAATACTGGTGATCTTTGTATTTTCTGATATTGCTGAAATCAGATAAAATAATCTTGATGATGACTGATGGAGAATGTATTGGACGCGTTTCATAGATAGTTATTGTAATCGCCCGGTCCTCATGTACGGTGCTTGGAAACTTATACTAGTCTACTTTTAGATATTTTTCCACTAACTATGTACTTATGACAAAAATGTATAGGGCCCGCCTGCTGATAAGTGGTCACCGTAGTCTTTAATACACCTAGAACCTCCTGTAAGACCAGAGGCATCACAAGTGTGAGAACAATACAAGACAACCATGTAGGAAACTGTCAAATTGCTCCACCATTTTCGGAATTAATATGAATTCTTTATTACCTCCTGACTTCAATATATTTACTGGCGGAACCACGAGCAACGATATGTTAAAGAAGTAATCTCAAAAAGTCTGCTTTATACGTATTAGTATTGTGTTTTCTTTTCCTGAGATAACGCAGATGGCTTTAATAATTATCGCGTATAATTGTAATTAATTACTCAAAGACATGTGGTCTTGACGTAATTGTACGATAACTTACGTATGTATTTATCTACTTTATAATTATTTTGTAAAACCTTTCGATTATTATTTTGCTTCCTATATTTTTATTAAAATTTGAAGCAGGTATTTGATTTGAATTGATGTTTGTCAGTTCTATGCACATAAACTGATGAATGTATTTAGATGCGATTTGTCAAAGAGATAGATTGTCGAACTAGATTGTTAGAAACTTTTAATTTCTTATTACGTATACAGTCATGAGCTGATTGTAAAATAGATTTTACCTGTAATTTTTATTATATCATTGTTGTACTAACAAGAGTATAAAGTAGTGATTGCAATAGGTATACCGTGGGAATTACCTCGTTATTTACTTCTGTTTGTTTGATGACACCAGTCCCTTGTCCAATATAATAAAAATAGACAGATATATTGTGCAACTCTAACATTAAACTTTAATAAATGAGAAAGTAGGATTGGATAATCACACATGGGATTAATGGAATTGGAAGTGGAAAAATCGAAATGAGTATGTTTCAAAATCAAGGCTAGGTTATTTATTGTATGTACCGTATTGTGTGGGACAAAACAGTGATGATATTCTGTTCTTCTTCATTATTTTCTGATTTATTTCGTTGCAGGATCCAAGACAGTTGTTCATGTCCCTTCGACGTGCCGGACTTCATAGTTCCGGTGTTTTTCTGGTTCGTATCCAATACTGGATCCTGGCTTCCTGGAGTAGCAATGGTTTAGGGGTTGAGGCGCGCTTGTCTCATTAATGAGCTGGAAAAAATCATTTAATTTCCGATAATGTAGTAAATTTGCAGCATGTGTAACGCCTCTGGTTTTTCGGGTGTCCATGGGCGACGCTGATTGCTTACCTGTCATCAAGTGATCCGTTTACTCGTTTTCTGGCTTATTCCATAAAAAAGTGGTATTTGACGCGCAGGTGGCGTCGGTCGTCGAGTCAACATCTCTTGGGGATGCTCCGTGGAGGAGCTAAACATATGTCGAGTGTGGTTCGAATGGTTGTTTGCGTGTCGAGTGTGCATTTTGTGTTGCGTCCCTGGTGCTTGTGCATTTATTTGTAGGCAGGAGAGCAGTACTGCGCACCATACCGCATGCTGCAATTAACAACTTCAGGGGAATTAAAACTAAATATTTTTCTAGTAATATGATGTACTATAGTACAAAAATACGCCTAAAACTATAAAAAACTGCAACGATAACCAGTCAAACTTTAAAAAACGTAGATAAGAAAACAATTATTCGAGTTTACAGTAAAGTTATTTATTGTTGCGATAAGCTGACCCACATAATTCGCAATACATACTGACATACAAACTGCATTTAGCTATACGTCATTACAGCGATAGTTTTGTGCGCACGATGCGTTCCAAAGAATGCAATTAATTTTTATGTAAGTGCGGAATGACATGCGATTCGTGAATGCTGTTGCAGACTGTCTGTCTGCCTGTCCGTAGAGAGTATACGTGGGTATAGTAATTGCTTGTGGTAATTAGTTTTGCCTCTCTCTTCTAAGTCGAGGAAATACTGAGTGTTGATGTCTTATTGAAGTGTCTTTCTCAGCCAATTGTATGATATTCGTGTTAACAAGTTCATTCGTAGAATTCGTTTCATGTTTTGTTTAAGTAATTGTTGATCATTTTAAGGCATTTTCTTTACATAATTAATAAATATGTTAGATATTATAGTATTTCATACACATTCTGCAGTGATACTAAAAATAATGTAGTTTTGTTGTAACAGAATTCCGATAAATGCTTTTTGATCAATGGTTAGTCAGAAAAACAATAAAAATAGCTAAGACAGATTTTACTTCATTCATAACAATTTAATCACTAGGTAGTTAGTCTATATTTCATAAACCAATTCAGCCAAAGAGAAATATCTACAGTAAAATGTCTAAGTTGTCAAGTAGACTGGAAAGATAAAGGTTGTCTGTAATTTCAACCTGATTATACATTAAAATTTCATCCGTCTCCCCGATCCATTGTCAAGAGTCAACTTCATCTGAAATTGTAATCATTGAAATAGGAACACTGATAAACTATGAATTAAATACCTTTTTGAATAATAGGGGTATTTCTATTTTCAGTCTCAGTAAAGTTTTGTTGTTTGAGTGATCGGCTGATCGCTTGACTCTTTGAGGCGTACGCTCAGGTCTGGTACTGGTCGGGCGGCCACCCATGCTCGCCGTCCGCAAGCCCGTGCTTACGGTGGCCGGAGATTGTTCTAGTACGGTTCTTGGAGTTACGTTTCAGAGCGCGCTGTTTCCCTATCTCTGTCGAGTTAAGGACTACCTATAAGTAGTCCTTAACTCCACTGTTACGACACTTATACAAAAAGGAGGGATGTTGACAAATATATTCTTTTCTGCTGTCACTAAATAGCAAATTATTATTTGCATCCATGTCTATTTTATAAGTAAGTCCTATCAGTAGATTTACCTACCTAAGTCAAATATTCTCTTTTAGTTCAATGACTTCACAATTCCAATATTGAGGACACAATGATTGTACCTACTAAGATTAGAATTATTAAGGTATCGGGTACTTGACGCGTCGGGTGTTAGCATCTCGATTTAACAGTCGAAGGTGTTAATCTGAGAATCTAATATTGAGAGTGTTATATTATTGTATTAGGTATTTGATAGTAGAGTATCTAGCTACGTATCTCCTTCAATCTTCTCTAGACCAAAATTTATCAAACTTGTTTTAGGAATAGAAAAAAAAAACCAAATTGACTTTTACATTTATAAATCACAATGAGAATTGTCTCGACCTTTTCAGCCAAAAAACACAACATGATATTCTATATACCTATTCCAAAAGCAAAAATAAAAATATCCATTACATTTTACTCATCCATTAAAATTCTACAATAATTATTTTGTACGAATGACTGCGTTCCATTTCCACAGACTAAATTAACGAAACTCGACCTTTTTGCGCCATTTTATAAATACAGAAAAGGTTTGAAATAACATACATACTCATCCCTATAATTACAGAGTTATATTTTAATTCATCTTCAAAGGGGGAAATACATTATATATAATTCACAAAGGGAAGTTTAGATTTAAGTTTTGATGTGATGTAAAGAGCATTAGTACTGGTTCAGAACTTTTAAGTAGGTCACCGCACATTATAAAATCATTGAAAGCTGAAGGGATAAGTTTAATCTCTGTACAGGCCGATGTACATAAGTATTGGGTACCTAGTACATATGTATACAGTACCAGGCGATACATATTGCGTAGGTATCGACCTATAGAAAGAGACAATCGGCTTAGTAGCCGCATTATGATTATCAACCACAGAAACTAGTCGAGCACTCTTCGAATGTAAAAGATTGCAAAAAAAGGTTGTACCTACAAATAAATGATCGCATTTAACTAAAACCGCGGGTAACTAATGAGAAAATACACTGAGATAACCTCTACTCTAGTCTAATAGGCTGCGCGACATCACCGCGACCGCGCACGCTGCTCACGAGGAAGGAAGAACCCCTCTGTATTAAGTAAAAACGCGGGTTACTCACGTGAATATACTGAGAAAAGCTCTACTAGTTTCGAACCACAGAGGGGTTCTTCCTCATGAGCAGCGTGTGCGGTCGCGGCGACGTCGCGCAGCTCACTGGCTGGCGTTGGCGCTCGCCTCGGTGTTGCCACCTGCGCTGCGAGCCCAACGCGCCCTCTGTCGGACACTACGAGCGTTTGCTTCCAACTCCGGCAGCGCGTTGGACGAAGCTAAAGCGCACGGTACGTTCACCAGCGGCGCGGGTCGTGGGTTCGATTCCGGGTTCGGCACAAAGTCAGTGTTGCCCCTCTGTAGTTCGAAACTAGTCAAGCTTTTCTCAGTCTTTTCACGTGAGTAACCCGCGATTTTTATTTAATTTAGTATTGTCTCATGATCACATATATTTAAGTTCAGAATTATTATTTTAAGACTACAGATGTCTTAAAATCTTCTTTATTATAGTATCTATGTTTAAGACTATCAACTCCTGTTCTTCAAACTTGTTCGGTGATTGTGACGTATAAACTTAATAACTATGTATATTAATTTATTTTTATTTAATTTATTCAATGGCATGCATATTTGTGCAACTTTATTTAAATAAATGCTTTGCTTTATTCTAGATCAAATATTTAAAACTTATATATGTAAAGCCAAAAGAAATATTGGTTTATTTCAGTCTCTAATATCTTAACTATGTAAATAAATTATTTACTAGATATAAAATTGTTTCTAAAAATAATACTTATACCTATACAAAAAATGTTGTCTAGTTATTTTGTTTTACACGATAGACTTGTTTTTGTGATTAAATAAATACAATTCGCAAACTTGTTGTGAGTGTTAAATGTTGAAAATTGTTCAAAACGAAACATGATTATTTTAAGGACATACGGTTTGAAACAAACTTAAAAATTCTATTAAAAATAAGAAATGTTACATCTGTTAAGGAGATAATATATACAGCCATATTTAATAACCCTTCCATAGAAAGCTTCGGCTCCTAGAAATAGGATCTTTTGGCTCATCTTCTAGTCTATAGATTTTTAATAACCTTTCCATGGACCCACATACTTAGATTTTAGTCAAATTTCCGTTGTGCTTGGCGACTAGGCTATACCCAGTTGTACAGTCTCTTTTTTGTGCCTTTAGACTTAATCTGAATCATCCTGTCTCTTGCAGGAATTCTCCGAGGGAAACTATCGTTTTTTTCTTCTCCTCTTATAATATCTTCTGATTCACTTCGTTGTGGGAACCAAGACAGTTATTCATATCCCTGGGACGCGCCGGACTTCAGTGTTCCGGTGTTTTCATGGTTGTATCTACTGTAGATCCTGGCTTACAGGAGTTGCAGCGGTTTTGGGAGGTTGTGGCGGGCTTGTTCCATTAAAAAATCTTTCAATGGAAAGCTTTGGCTTCTAGAAATGAGACCTTTTGACTCATTTTCTACGGAGTTCATATCAAATCGCAACTACTTAGGTTATTATCAATTTCATGGTCATAAGTAGTGTCAGCACTCTATTGTTAGGTACCTACAACTCCTGAAATGGATCACTTCCATCAGATGACGATAACTCGATACCAATTTCACAATACCATGCATAATTTGCGATCAGCAAATAACCGTTTTTATTATCACACTCGTCTAGCAGTAATTATAATTTTGCACGGGTTTTAACAGTAGCTGGTTACGGCGCAATCCATTGTATTGTATATTGTTATATCCACTAGTTGATTGTTCCCCCTGCCCTCCTCCTTCCGTCATACTCCACCTCCCCGCCCTCGTCTAGTTACATCACATTCGTATTGTTTCGAGTATTCAACCCGTTAGTTCTAAACTGTTTGATAACGTTATAGAAATATTGAAAACAACTATTAATTTGTTGGAGCATTTGAGCTGGGATTGTGCTAGGCCGGGTACATTGCCACGTGCCTAGTTGAATACAATTTTCACAACCCTTATGTCCAAATATTGAAAGGCTACGCACTGACTGCCTCTATGGCATCGTAGGCAGAGTGCAAGCGCGACTGCCGGGTCAGTCAGTCAGGCAAAGTATTATTTTGTTTTAAAAATTCTCAGTAGTAGCATCTAATCTGAAAATGTGCCCGGTATAGGCTGGTGAGCCTATTACATGGGACTCATAACATAAATAGTGAAAAGT